TGCCGCTGCGCCACCCGCACGTGCTGTACGACCCCGTGATGTTCACGCCACTGCGCGTCACGACGACGATGCTGCCGTCCGGCGTGGCGGAAGAGGTGGTGGCGGCGCTGCAGTTCTACGGTGCCACGTACACACCGCACCTGACAACCGCCACGGACGTCGTCGTGCACGGCAGCAGCAGCAGCGGCGGTGGTGGGAGTGCGAAGTGGCGTCTCGCAGTGGAGCGCGGCATCCCGTGCGTCCCCCTCGCATGGCTGCAGGAGTGCATCGCCACTGGGCGCCGCTTGCCATTCCCCTCGAACGCCGATTCATCGACTGCAACCGCAGCTGCAGGCGATACTACTACTAGTACTACTACTACTACTACTACTACTACTATTACGGTTGCTGATGGCACTACTGTTGTTGCCTCTCCCGCTGCAGCACTGACGAGTGCCACCGANACTACTACTACTACTACTACTATTACGGTTGCTGATGGCACTACTGTTGTTGCCTCTCCCGCTGCAGCACTGACGAGTGCCACCGAAGAGAGCAGCCGCGGCTCCTCTTACGAGGCAGCACGAGGCGGGCATGACGTTGAGTTCAAGCAGCAGCAGCAGCAGGAGCAACGGCCGAGAAAGCGCCGCCGCGAGGATGGCGATGGTAAACTTACCGACATCGATCTGAGCCAAGGGGGTTTTGGGCACCTCACTCTTGGCGAGCTGTGTGAACGTGTCCTGGGGGGCCAGTGAGCAGCGCTGCTGCGACACTTCTATAGAAGACAGGCATAGAATGCAAGATAGAGACACAGAGTGAGTGAAGCGTAGAAGCGCCACGCGAAGGAAAGAGAAAGAAAGGCACACGGGGAATGGAGCCTGCGCCTCCCCCCCTCCACGTGCTGTATTCGCACTGTGGAGGCTCATCTTGTTGTGTCATCATGGTCCCTTCATCTGTTATGCCTTCTCACCCTCTCGTTTTTTGATTTTTTTTTTGTTTTGTGTGGCGATGGCAACCACAATCACTGGTGTACAGAAGCATCCTGCGTCTCGAGCCTCAGTCCGGGTGTGGTAAACGTGTTGCGGAGAGTCCACACACAGTGAAAAACAGACAATCGGCGGAGTCAGCGGCCACAGCACGGCACGGAGGAAGGCGGAAAAGACGGGATGTCAAATGTGCCTCCCACTTTCTTCAGCGTTGTGTCGGAGTACGTTGAGCACATGCTCCCCGCTGACAATACCATGAAGGTCCTCCTCGTTGACGAGGCGACGCTCAACATCATCTCCATGGCCTGCTCGCAGACGGCGCTGCTCAAGAGGGGAGTCTTCCTCGTCAACCGCGTCGACGACCAGCGTCAGCGCCGCTGCATAAAGAACATGCGATGCGTTGTGTTCATTCGTCCGCAGCTGTCGAGCGTCGAGGCGGTGTGCGCCGAGCTTCGCGCCGCCAAGTACGAGAGCTATGCTATCTACTTCAGCAGCGCAGTCGTGCCGGATCTGCTTGACCGCCTCGCCCGCGCGGACGTTGAGAATTTAGTGAACCGCGTTGGTGAAGTCTTCTGCGACTTCGACGCGCTCAATGCGGACGCGTTCGTGTCGGCCGCCGTGGGGCCCAACGCGCTGCTGCCGGGGTACTTGAGCGCCGCGGTGGTGCAGCGTGTGGCGGAGGGAATCGCCGCGACGTTTGTGGCGCTGCGCCGCAAGCCGCATGTACGCTTCGACCAAAACAGTGCCTTCGCGCGTCGCGTGGCGCTTGAGCTGGGCGATATACTGAAGAAGAACGCGGAGCTGTATAACTACAAGAACAGGGACAGCGTGCTGCTGATTCTGGACCGCAGCAGTGACGCGCTAACACCGCTAGTGATGCCGTGGATCTACCAGGCAATGCTGCACGAGCACATTGGCCTGAGGTACAACCGCCTCAAGCTGCCAGATGCCCCCGAAGAGGAGGAGTACGTCTTCTCGCAGCAGGACGATGCATTCTTTGCCGCGAACATGTATGCCAACTGGGGTGAACTCTGCAACAATGTCAAGGCCTATGTGGATAAGTGCAAGACCACGCTGAACATTGATCGCTCCACGGCCACCATGGATGAAATAAGAGATTTCATGCAGAGACTGCCGCAAACAAAGACTCTGACAGGGTCTGTGACGAAGCACGCCACAGTGGTATCACACCTCTCCTCCATCATTAAAAAACGTGGGCTGCTGGACATATCCCTCCTTGAACAAGACATGATCGCCTCATCCAATCCAAACGACCACTGGAATCGCCTGCAAGCCTTTGCCGCAAAACAAACTAGCAGTAGCCTCAGCAATAGAAACAACAAGAATATCAATAGTGCTGTCGTGGACACCAATGACCTCTTCCGCCTGTGTCTCATCTACCACTTGCGCTACGAGAAAGCCAATCAGCCGTCTCGTGTGGTGCCGCTCTTGGAGAGGCTCGGTCCGTATTACGTGGAGAGCCTGCGGAAGCTGCAGAAGTACTGCGGTGACAGGCCTACAGATGATTTGTTTCGCGAAACGGGTGTCATGGCTTCTATCGTAAAGACATTCGTCGACGTTGGAAACATCTACACTCAACACGAGCCTGTGTTGAAACGAACATTGCTGCAACTTTTTAGTGGTCGACTCTCTGTTGATCAATACCCTTACTTGACGCCGGCAGCAGGTGTAGCCGCGAGCTCGTCCCAGCCGCACCAGCAGCCCGTCTTCAAGCCAAAGGAGGTTACGACGTTCATGTGCGGCGGCTTCACGTATGCAGAGGCTGCGTTGGTAAACGCCATCAACGAGGGGACGGCGTACACGGGCTCGGCGGCCAGTAGTCTCCCGCAGGGCGGCGTGCGTGCGGCGATTGGTGGCACTGCTGTCCTGAATAGTGAGGCGTTCCTCAGCTTGCTATCCACGCACCCATGATGTGGTCCTGCCACGGATAGGATGCGTGTGGCCTTCAGCAAAAACGGAAAAGAAAAGGACGAGTGGTGAAACGGAAAGGGGAGAAGGAGGAAAAAAAAACAAGATGTGCTGAACGTGTGTTTGAGTAGTTCCAAAGAGAAGACGCATGGAGCGTTGAGGGGTCTCTAGAAGCCTATATGTGTGTGTAAATGTCTTGTGTTCCTGTATGATGCATTCGTCGTGCTCGACCGTCTTGGCCGCGTCCTCCTCTTTTTTTTTTTTNTTTTGATTTTTTTTTTTTTCTTCGCTTTAGGTTGGCCAAGAGTGTGCATTGCAGGTCGGCATTATTCTTATTTCTATTTTCATTGGCGCCAGCCCAGCCATGGCAACAGATGCATCCACAGCAGCGAAAGCTGGCGATGTAATTGTGCATGACAGATACAGCACGCTTTCGTTAGTGCAGCTGCTGGAGGAGCTGTCCAACTCATTGGCGTGCAGTCCATCCCTCAAGTACCGCCGCGGTGACTGTGGGATGTTGCCCATGGAAGAGGATGCGCTGCTGTACGCCACCACCACATCAGTGGCTGCAAATACACGCCTTTATGACCCGATAAAGTGGCGCAGAAAGCGGCGGCGCGATGCGCTTGATGCATTCTTTGATTCTGCCGTTGCGTCAGCGTCGTCACCTGCGTCGCTCCGCAGACAGTCCCGTCAGCTATTTCGCAACGCCAAACACAACATTGGGCGTGTCACCGGAACACATGCGGCAATGTTAGAGCTACTCTGTAGCGCCGTTGCCCCTGGCATAGAGTGTGGTGACAATACAGGGGCAGAAGCAGCGATGGATGCATCGGAGATGTCGGAAGCCGAGCAGATGCTGTATATTGTCCTCCGCACCAGTGTTGTGGCCGCACCAACCTGGCAGAAGCCACCCGTCGTCCCGCGGTGCTGGTTGTCGCCATCCATTACAGCGCTGGTGGAGCGGGCGCCGGCGTTGCAGCAGGCGATGCGGTGGTCATGCGACCCCGACCCGGTCATTGGGGCCGCGCTATGCGTGGACGCGGCGGCGTACAACCACTTCTCACTTTCGCCGCCCGCATCGTGTGGTCCACCGGCGCTGCTGTCACAATTTGCGGATGCTGCAGCTGCAGCGTGGCCGCAGGCAATCACATCTTCATGGATGGGCAGTAGTTGCGGTGCCCATGAGTACTGGATCAACTGGGAAAATGAGGAGGTACGACACCTTTTCGCAAAGAAGCGTTCATCAACCACAGATCGAAGAATGGGCGACGCGTTGTCAGTGTCGCCTCACATAGTGCAGGAAATGGGCCCTGCAGAGCACGTGTCATCCCCGTCAGTGGTCGATGTTGGAAGGCCAACCTTCTCTATCTTTAAGGAGGAGTACCCCGCTCAACACCAGTTTTGCTCGCTCCTATTTGTAGCACTTCATCGTGGCATTGTTGGGCAGCAAGACCCATACCTCTTGCTTCGATTAGATGGCGGTTCCCCATTGGGATCTGTGTCGTCACCAAGCAAGCCACCGTCTGTGTCTCAAATAGCGGCGACCCCTGATTACGGCGTATCCACGACTCCTTTGTGCATTGAAATAAGTCCGGAATTCCTCGTCACTACTCCTGTAGAGAGCCACAGTACTTGGAAAACAAAGAACAGGGGCGGGGGCGACCACGCGAAGCTCAATGCAAGTGGTAGAGATGAGGCGAATGAACCACAGTGCTCGAGAGGTGTCATGGCGATGCTGCAGTGGAGTTGCCAGAGTGGGACACTCTTCTTGCGGTTGAAGCACTTGTGTGAAGTGTCGGAGCGACGAGAATGGCGCACAGCCCTTGGCCAATACGGGAAGAGCGCCATTGAGGCACTGCGTCGGCTCCTGCTCTTGCTGCAGGGTCTTGTGGCGGAGATGGCTGATCGCTCCGGTGGGCCACACTGTGTGTCTTTCAGAGAACTCCTAGCTGCACAACAAAAACTGCGCTGCGTCGCGGATGACATCACCGCGTTGAGTGATGTGTTCCTTGTGAGCGCCGACCCAAGTTGGGAGGCTGCTGCCGTGTTGGGAGAGATTTCGTCCGCCACGCTTCTCTCTTCGCTTTACCGCCACTATGCGCAGCGGACGGCCAACACACAGGGAAGAGGCTCTCGACTAACCACCAGCAGCAACAGCGCTGATTTCCCTGGCGTGCAGCTCGACGTTATCGGTGACGTTTTTCTTGCTGTCCTACACCCGTTGCACCGCATGATGGGGGCATGGCTCCGCGTCGGTGAGGTGCACGACCCGTACGATGAGTTCTTCATTGTGCCATCGCATGGCACCACTGCCTGTGGATTTCTTGTTGATCCATCGCCGCAGCGGCTGCCGGATTTTATTTCGGCAGAGGCGGCGGAAGAAATCCTTCATGCAGGCGTGAGTCTCCGCGTCCTGCGCGCTGCAGCGCGGCATGTGACGCTGTGCGCCACCAAGGAGCAGAAGCGGCTGGAGCGGCTGGCGGAAGACGTTGACGCGGCGGCCGCGCTGCAAGGGGAGGCGGAGGACGCCATGGGGATCAACTGGCTGCTGCAGGACTTCTTGGAATCTCTGCTCGGGCAGCGCTCGCCATCGCCGTTCCTACCGGTGCCGGAAGTGGACCTTCTGCTGGACGTGGGCGCGGTGCAGTACTGGCGGGCCTTCTACGGCGCCTGCAACGGTGTGCTGCTGGCCGCGTCGGAGGAGGCGGATGGCGCGGCGCGGACCGTGCTGCTGCAGGACGACGCGCCGCTGCTCCTTGAGGATGGCGAGGCAACGGTGAAGAGCACCTGGGGCGCCGAGCGCAGCGCCGGCTTCGGTGTGGGCGGGGCAGCGTCCGCCACGACGAATTTCTCTCGTATCTCGCGGGCCACGTCGGTGTGGCACGAGGCGGTGTCAGCGGAAATTGCGCAGGTCTCGCAGGCAACGAGCGAGGAAGAGGCGGCGAGGACACGGGCGCGCGTGGCACTGCGATCGGAGTACGAGCGGCGGGTTCTGCGCCGCAAAGCGCAGCGGCAGCTGCAGCAGTGGAAGGAGCAGCGGCTTTCCCTTAACCTGGAGAGGGCCGCCGCGCTGTCGAGGACAGTTGACGAACTGCTAGAGTTGTACGCCCGCGTTCTTAAGCCCGCAGCAGCAGCAGCAGCAGTTGATGAGAAGAGCAACGAGGAAGAAGAAGAAAAGAGCGATTATGATGGTCGACGAACACCGATTGGGAAGTTTGTGAAGCCGCTTCCCCAGCCGCCATCCCTACCGCCTCTTCCGTCTGGGGCTGCGAAGAACAGCAGCGCCGCTGTTGGGCGCCCCAGATTTTCGTTTCCAGTATGCACCGCTGCTGCTGCTGCTGGTGCTGCTGGTGCTGCAGTGGGCGGTGACAGTGTGCTGCTGCATGAGAACGAGGAGTCGTTCCATGTGGCGTCGACCACGTCGCTCTGTCGCATCATCATGCCGCCCAGGCTGCGTCGTGCCAGCCGCAGTAAGGCAGCGGACTCCTCCTTGTCGCTGCAGTCCATCCACAAGGATCCCATCGTCCAGTCTGATGAGCCGCATGAATTTGTGCACCCACCCGAGATGTATGTCGTGGCCAGCATCAACGATGACGAGTACCTGATGAAGCGGACAGGCCCCCACGTGACTGACACCACCGCAGCTGAGGCGCTCTTCGCCCAGCTCGCCGCGGAGGAGGCACGTGTGCGGAACTACGATGTCTCGAGCGAAGCGTACCAGCGTGAGTGTGCGGCCGTTGCAATGGAGGTATTGCACGGTGACGGTAGCAACTCCAGCAGCAGCTCCGTCACCGCCGGTAGTAGCAGGCGCATCAGCGCTGCCTGGTGGACAGACCCCACTGCTGACGAGGGGATCCTTGCCCTCTTCAGCAGCAGTAACGACAACAACAGCAACAAGAATACCACAACACCGGCGTTGGCACCGCGCGCCGTCCTCTCACTGACAGAGCAGCAGGAGAAGCGTCTTCTGCATTGCTCATACTACTATCTCACACTGGCTCGTTACACAGCGGGCTATTTGACACACAAAGCACTCCAGGTGATGCTACTTGGCCCATACGGCAATCTCTATCGCCTGACGCAGCAGCTGTTGGATGTGTGCCTTATGCAGCGTGGCCGCGTAGCGGATCGACTGACGGGTTTGTGGCAGCACCTCACGAGGGAGGCGATTGAGGAAAACCAATTTCGTGCCTCTGCAGTGTTTACATCGCTCAACAAGGCGTTCGTGGAGGAGTGGGAGTCATGCGTGCTGCATGGCCGCGATACGCTGCGGGTGCAGCTTGCCCTCACCCTCTCCAATGACAGTGACGACGATTTGAATGCTGCACAGAATGAAGCCAGCCTGACATGCAACGAGGAGTCTGAGAGCGGTCTCTTGTTCCACGACACGGCGTTTCGGCGGCGAACGCGTCGCTCAGCAACACCGCACACCGAGGCAGAAGCACACAACGAGGAAGAGCAGCAGTATGAAGAGAAGGGTGGTAGTGGTAGTGGTAGCAGTGCTGTTGGTCCCTTGCCAGAGAACCCGTTCGACTTCATCTCGCGGCTCACAATCGTGCACGACGCCGAGTGTGGGGGGCTGTGGGTCCTGCCGAAACACGCCGTCACTGTTTACGGTGACCTCTTCAGCACGCTGTTGTTCTGGGCATCCGTGATGGAGCTTGTGACGCGCGTATGGCGTATCGGCATCACATCCGGCGTAGCGGAGGCATTTTTCTTCTGCAACGTCTCTCGCTCGGTGCTCAACGCGGTGGCGCAGCACATGTGGTTCCTCATCGCCGGTTACGTGCGCGCGTACCGCCACACGCTGCGCTTTGAATCGGGCGTGCTCTACGGGTACCGTCAACTGGAGAGCTTCACCGCCGACCACGCGGAGTTCCTCGAGCACTGTCGCTTCGCTGCGATGCTGACACCCGTCTTCGCCCGCGCGCGGCAGCAGGTGTACGGGATGGTGCGGCAGCTGGAGGAGGTCGAGCAGTGCGTCCTGCGCGCGCGTGCCGAGGACGCTGCAGATGCTGCAGCACCGCAGGATGGCACCGGCCGCGCCCGTAAAAAACACAGCGACAAGGCGCATAAGCAGCAGAAGCCGAAGAGCAAGAAGAACCAAAAGATTGAGGTGTGGGAGAAGGGACGCGGCAGCAGCGACAGCAACAGTAACAGGAGCGGCGCGAGTCCGTCGCTTAGGCGGCAGAAGGAGTCGTCGCCGTTACTTCCCGATATGTCGCCAAAGTCGAAACGCAAATCGCAGCGGTCCGCAGACCAGAAGAAGCTGCAGCAGGAAGACTTGAAGCGGCGAAAGGAGGTGCGTTGGCGAGGTGTGCGTGATGCTTTGCGGCGGCGTCTGCGCTCTTTTATGGGGCTGACAGAGATATTCATTGGACACCTTGTTGCCGTTCGTGAGAGCGTCTCTATCGATCTAGAGCCGACAGAGTCTCCACTGCAGAAGCCGAGCGGCGACCACGACGACGTGGAGCACGCGGCAATGCGGGACACGACTGCGCGCGTCTCTGCGCTAACTTCACTGATCCACACGCTTGAAATGACACAAGCTGCAGTCGATGACAAGCTGTGACTGAGTGCGTGCCTGTGTGTGCCCGTGTGTGTTTGGGGGAAGAGAGAAAGAGAGGGATGGCAATGAATGTGGGTGGCTGTTTGCCTGTTTGTTTCATTACTACCATTTTTTTTTTTGTTTGGCTCCACAGCAGCGCACCGGTTAGTTGTCTCCGGTGTGGGTGGGAGAGACGTCATGGGGTGTGTCTGCTGTTGGCGTGTTGTGTGGCGTCACCTCCCGCTGCCACTCCGCTCTCTTTCTCTCTCTCCCCCCCACCTCACTGCGTTGTGTCTCGGTGGTGCTTCGGCGGCAGTAGTGGTGGCGTCCCTGTTTTCTTTTTCTTTCTTTGGCATTCTTGCAAGGGTGCGCCCCGTCTCTCCTCCCAACCCCACCACTGTGTTGCACTAAAAGCACAAGCCACACAAACACGTTAGCAGGCAGCAACAGAAGCAACAGCGGCAGCCATGTCTAACTTGCAGAAGATTAACGACATCGAGGCGGAGATCGCCCGCACGCAGAAGAACAAGGCGACTATGGCACACTTGTGTCAACTCAAGGCCCGTCTCGCGCAGCTGAAGCGCGAGCTCATCGCCTCGGAGTCAAAGAAGGGCGGCGGCAAGGGCGAGGGGTTCGACGTGCAGAAGACGGGTGACGCCCGCATCGGTTTCATTGGGTTTCCCTCTGTGGGGAAGTCGACGCTGTTGACGAAACTCACGTCGACGCACTCGGAGGTGGCGGCATACGAGTTCACAACGCTCACGTGTGTGCCTGGCGTTGTGCAGTACCGAGGGGCGAAGCTGCAGATGTTGGACCTGCCCGGAATCATCGAGGGCGCGAAGGATGGAAAGGGTAGGGGTCGGCAGGTCATCGCGGTGGCGCGCACCTGCTCCCTCATCCTCATCGTGCTGGACATCGCCAAGCCGCTGCAGCACAAACTCATCATCGAGCGCGAGCTCGATGGATTCGGCATCCGCCTCAACAAGCAGCCGCCGAACATCGACATACGAAAGAAGGACCGCGGCGGTATTAGCATCGCATCCACCTGCCCCCTGACGAACATGGACCACGACACGATTAAAACAATTCTGACCGAGTACCGCATGAGCAACGCGGATGTGATGCTGCGGGGTGATTACACCCCAGATGATTTGATCGATGTCATTGAAGGAAACCGCATCTACATTCCCTGCATCTACGTGCTGAATAAGATTGACCAAATCAGCATTGAGGAGCTTGATATAGTCTCCCGTATTCCGCACAACTGCCCCATCAGCGCACACCACGGGTGGAACCTTGACGGGCTGCTGGAGTGCGTGTGGGACCATCTGCACTTCATTCGCGTTTACACGAAGCCGCGTGGGCAGGTGCCGGACTACGATGAGCCGGTCATCTTGAAGAAGTTGCCGTCACCAACGGTAGAGCGGTTCTGTCTGCGTCTTCACCGGCAGATGATGAAAAGCTTCAAATACGCGTGGGTGTGGGGGTCGAGCGTGAAGCACCAGCCGCAGCGTGTTGGGAAGGACCACCCGCTCGAGGATGAGGACGTCGTTCAGGTTGTTAAGAAGGTTTAAGCGAACAAAGTGAACAACAACAGCAGCAGCAGCAACAACAACAACAACAACAGACACTGAAGAAGAGAGGGCTGGAAACTGCATTTCCTATTTGTGTTAAAGGAGAAGAAGAAAAAAAAAGGACAGAGGAGCGTTGCGCCGGGGCAACCACACCCACAGAGAGCGTGAGAGAAGAGGGGTCTGGCGGTGCAATGAACTGCGCCTGCCGCAATCATCTCCACCATCTACGTTTGTGCGTATATGTGTGTGTGTGTGTGTGTGTGTGTGTGTGGAGGGGGGGTTGTGTGTCCGTGCGCGGCAGTGATTGTTGCTGGCATCGTTGAGGATACCACAGGAAGATGTCTTGGCATTTGTGAGCACCTCTGAAGGATGTCAGGTGAGGCGGCGCACACCTACTCGGCGTAGCGGTGAACAAAGTTCTAATCACAACGAAAAGGACACGTCAGTGTGAAAGTATGCCTGTGCGCGCGTGGTCCTTTGTCTCTGTGGAAAAACCAGGTGCATCTTCTCCCATTTTCTCGCTTTCTTTTATTGCTATTTCTCTCTCACACACACACACACACACACACATACACATACATACAAACCCATATACTTTTCTCCCAGGCTTGCTGGACGGTCTGCGAAAAAAAGGAAATTAGGCTCTCTAGCCTTCCTCGGACTGCTTAGCTGCTCTTAGCACCGTCCCCTCTCGGACTTTTTTCGTTTGCTTCACTGCAACGCATATGCGGCGGCTGACAGACGTTCTTGTCTTTGTGGGGCCTAGTGGGAGCGGTAAGTCGACGCTAATCAACCACCTGCTGGAGCGATGGCCGCAGCACTTCGGCTTCTGCACAAGCCATACCACGCGGCAGCCGCGGTTGGCGGAAGTGGCGGGGAAGCATTATCACTTCGTCTCTCGGGAGACATTTCGGCATATGATCAATAGTGGTGCCTTTGTGGAGTACAACAAAGTGTTCTCCCCGTCAAGGACCGATGGGGCGCGTGGGAGCAGCAATAACGATAGCACCAATGCCGCCGATGACTCCGATGATGCAGATTACTATGGTACGACAAAGAAGGAACTTTATAAGATTCTAAATCAAGACAAAGTTGTACTAATGGACCTTGATATTGCGGGGGCAATGAATATCAAGAAGTACTGCAATTGCAGTGTCAATGGGGATAAGCAGCCGCAGCTTCGCGTCAAAGTCGTCTTTTTGAAGGGACCAGGGCTCGAGGTTATCGCGCAGCGCCTGCGCCAGCGAGGGACGGAGTCGGACGCTTCGTTGCAGAAACGCCTGCGCGAGAACGAGAAGTGGCTCAACTGGTGCTTGACGAATCCAAATTTCTTTAATCATACACTTCTTAACCGTGACCTGGAAACGTGTTTGGCGGAGCTGCGAGGGTTTGTAGCGACACAAGTGTTGTCCCCCGCCAGTGCGCTGTAAATAAAATGGCGCGGCGTATCGTCGTTAGCATAAGTCCTACCAACCACCACTAATAACACCGGCGCTGTAAGACATGAGGGAGAATCGTAAACGGCAGTGTGGCTCTTTCTTCTCTCTGGAGCGCATGGGTGGGGTGCACTTTTCCGCCCATGTAAGTGAGTCGTGGAATATATGGGCAGTCTGAAACTTTGAGAGGCGTGATAGCTACACCGAGGCAGAGGAGGAGGAGGAAGAAGAGGAGGCTGGTCTGGACAACTTGCTGTGTCCTACTGGGTGGGGAAGGCATCAGTAGGGTTAGCATATAACTCTGCGTTCTAACTTAATTTGGCCCGGTGTCTCCGTCTCTCTGTAGCGCAAATATGCCTGTTTCACTATGATGTGTGCATCCTTGCCGAGATGGGGGAGTTGCTAAGTGCGATATCGCCTCTCTCTCTCTCTCATGTTGTTTCCGTATAATTTTGTTCTCTCCTTCTCCCCCACACTGCTACGTGTATATATACATATAAATATATATAGTGTCTAATCACACCATCACTGCTCGCACACACTAAGAGTTTCTACAAAGCATGTCTGCCTCTTTTCCAGCTGCCGTTGCACTGGATGAGGCGTGCAAGAAAGGGGATACGTACAGTGGTCTGCAGATGTTCAAGGCGGTGCTTCAACGCAAAATCAGAAGTGGCAACGAGTCGGGGGCGCACGACCTGCTGGACGCTGGCTTGTTGCAGGCGGCTGTAGCTAACATGTCTGTCGAAGTGGGGTCCGAATTGTGCGCTGGGCTTCTCAACCTCTTTAAGTGTTTCAACCACACGGGGGACGAATTTGTAAAGAAGCGGTTGTCTACCGTGCACAACTACTTGACGCAGGTGGAGGAGTCTCACGCCTCGCCTGTGTGGTGCGAGATGCACGTTAAGTTCCTCCGCGACGCGCTGCTTTGGCTCCAGACTGTAGGGGCGGGGGACGCCTACGTCGCGGACCTTAACTCTAATCTTTGCCGCGCATATCTGCGGCTCGCTCATAGTAGGGCGAATGCTCGCGATGGCAGCAGCGGCAGCAGCAACGACGAGGAGGCCATCTGTGAGGCACTTGCGGCAGCGTACAACACTAGTCATCTTTGCCCCTCAGAGACGCAGCTAATTCGCTCGGTTGCATCCGAGGTGCAAGAGCGACTCACGGAGGCGGAAAGGCCGTTTTTAATTGCACGCACTGTTTACGGCGTGCTCTCGGGTATGAGCAGGAAGTCAGATGTGCCGCAGAAGGTGCTTCTGACGTCCGCATCGACAATTTTGCACGATGAAGGGGTATCGGCTGACGCGTCAGCGCTGTCTAGCTTCTTGCATGATGTGGTGCAGGTCATGGTTGAGGCGTTACCCATGCAAGTCAACGCGTCCGAGACCCAATCACACACGCACCTCGTGGATGCCTTGTGTAACGTTTACTACCCCTTGCTGCCGGTCATCCGCGACCTGGATTGGGTGGCCCTCTCACGCTCTATCCGATGCGGGGGTGTGTGATATGCTGCACTGATTATGTCTGCTGTGTGTGAGTGCACATAAGCCAAAGGCGTACATGAAGGCGCTAGGAGCGATTGTTCTGTCGGCCTTGGTCTCATCCTATTACTCTTATTGATAGTTGTTCTTCATGCTGTTATTGCCTTTGCTGCTGATTGTCTATTCATTTTTTTTTTTGTGTGTATTGGTCTTTTTTTTTTTTTNGGGGGGGGGGTCGGTGATTATCGTTTTTCCCTGCTTGTCTTGGGGCTCGTCACCTCACACGTAGGTGGTAGCGTATTGCTGGGTTGTGAAAGTTTTGTGGGCCGTTTGTAGCCATATTCATGGGTAGGGAGGGGGAGAAGGGGGAGGAGAGCACTGCGGCACGGGGCCGTGAGAGTTTTAATGGCAGTGATGCAGGCAATTCTTCGCCCAACGACGGTGACTCTCCCGAAAATGTCCTTTCACATGCGGTTTCATCCATAACGCCAGCTTCCACCATCCCCACGTCGAAGATTGCAAGCAGCCTGCTCAAAATCCGCGAGCGTCGCAACTGGCTTATTCATCACCTTTACACACGCCAAGAGTACGTAGAGTGCCTGAGCGTCATCGAGGCGCAGTTGCGGGAATCTGAGGGCGTGTGTGAGTACGCACTGTATGTCAAGGGGCTGCTGAAGAGGCGCAGTGGGGATTTGACGGAGTCTTTCCTACTCTTTCAGACTGCAATGCTCATCAACCCGCAGAACCCGGTGAATCAGAAGCAGGTGGCGCGGGCTTTGTTTCTGCTTGGTCAGCACCGCGCGGCGATCGATAGCCTTAAGGAGACAGAGGATATGTGCGCGATTAATGGGGTGGGGGAAGACTGGACGCTTCAGTACGGTATCGGCATGTGTCACATGTACCTGAACGACTACAAGCAGGCAGAGACTGCATTCGTGAAGTCCATCAGCATTCAGCGCCGCGACTGCACGATCATGCAGCTGGGCAAGGTGCTCGTGTTGCAGAAAGAATACGAACGGGCCATTAGTCTCTACGAAGAGGCGCTTCAGACAACCCCCGACAACCCAGACCTCCTCACAACGTTGGGGCTGCTACATCTGAAGGTGAACAAGCCTGCTAAGGCATTTCACTATGTTGGTAAGTGTCTCACTTTGAACTCATCCAACCCGACAGCCATCATGGTGGCGGCGGGTATCATGCAGGAGAACGGAGACTTTAGCGTCGCGCTGAATAAGTACCGTGTCGCAGTGTCAAAGCTGCCGCACTCCGCGCGTTTGTGGAGCAATATTGGGATGTGTTTCTTTGGACAACAGAACATGCACGCTGCCGTTGCGTGTTTGCGTAAGGCTGTCGCCTTGGCACCGTTAGAATGGCGCATCGCGTACAATATGGGCCTTGTGTTTCTACATTTGAAACAGTACGCCTCGGCATTCCACTACCTGTCGGCATCCACGTACCTGCATGGGCAATACGCCCCCGCCTTTATGCACTTGGGCGTCTGCCTGGCGTTGATGAACGATGTCGAGAACGCGTGCGCGGCGTACGCTCGCGCGCTTGCTATAGATCCGGACCCCTTCATACGGCTTAACTACTCCATCACCCTGTTCAACAGCGGGAAGGAAGAAGAGTCGAGGCAGCAGCTGGAAGTGTTCCTCCAGGCATGGGAGAATGCGCAGGAAATGCAGAGACGAGATTGGGGGCCGATAGTTTCACGGACAGTAAGGCTCCTCACCGCGCGGTTGCGCGGTGAGAAAGAAATGAATTGCCACACTGCCGTCAGTAGCATCAACAACGATGACAACAATATTGAAACCAACGACAAGAAGAATGACAGCTCCACTGTTGAAAACGGCAGCGCCGTCGTTGAAAATGACAACGCCAACCACAATAAGAATGTGGAAGGCGAGACCTCGCAAGCTGTTGCTGAGGCGGTTGAAAATGAAGGCGGGAGTGGTGACAATCGGTGAGCAGATGTGGCGGTTTGTGTCTGTGCGCCTGCCTCTGCCTTACACGCCCCATGTGTTCTCACCCAGAGAATGCGGGAGTGGGGGAGAGGCAAGGTATGCGCGGCACCTGCGGCCTCCAGGAACCACGGACATGGACTTCATGTCCTTTCAAATTACTCGATTTTTGTTAGAAACCTTCAAAGGCAAAGTACACAAAGGCAAAAAAAAAAGAATGGGAGAACGATCCACAGTGGTGGCAGCAGCAACTGATGTGGTGCATTGATGCATTTTTGTGAGACATGAATATCGCCTTCTCTCTTTTTCATTGCTTATTACCAATATTATTATTTCTCTTGCCTTTCTTCTGTTCTTTTATCCTTGTTGTCTCGCTGTGGAATGCACCTCGCTATGGGTATAGATAACTAGGGTCACTGCCCCGCTCGTGCTTCTAAAAAGATCAAAAAAGACACATATACAAACACGGCAACAGGAATTGCTTACAACTATCACAGAGCTTTTTTTCGTTTCTTTACCCGTCTCTGTTGCTGCCTGTGTCTCTGTGCTGCTTGCCTGTGCTCCGCAATGGACACCGAGAAGTCACTCCGTGAGGATATCATCCGCATTCGCCGCGAGACGGAGCGTGCGTCGTGCCACGCGGATGAGTCGGCGTTCGGTGAAGCCCGCACGGCGGTGATGAATATATTGGACACGAACTACGGTGGCTCCGGTGTCCTGTACGTTCTCTGTTGTGTGATGCCGCCGCTTATTTTGTGCGTTGCGTGCATGCTTCTCTACTACGCTGCAAAGTTACTCCAAGAGCGGTATCTGCTCTTACGTGTGTCGAGGCAGCTGCGCAGCAACCCCATGATTCAGGAGGAGTTGCAGGCACGGAAGCTGAGTCAGGCGTCGCGCCGATCCGCGCGTCAGCGTACTTCCTTCATTATTATTCTTAAATGCATCGTGGCGGCCACTGTGCTCGTTGTTTTCATTGGATCGCGCCTGATGATGGAGGTGACGGTGCGCACGTGGTTGAAGTCTCTTTTGGTGCCACACGCCACGGAAGCCGAAAGCGATTCTTCTCTGGAAGATGAGTTTTCCCAGGATCCGTGGTATGAGCTGTACGATGGTCTTGCGTCGTTTCTTACTGTCAGCTGGTTCCGCGACCTTCAGAGTCTCTTTGTCTTCTCCTCAATTGGCTCCGGCATGCTGGTGGTCGGCCTACGCCTGCTCCGCTCCGCCTCTGATGACTCGATGTCGCTACACACCCGCGTCTCCGCGTCGACGCAGATGCTGAAGAGGGTTGACGACCGGCACATGGCGCGGAGCCAGGAGCTGCTGCAGAAGCAGCTGGTGGATCTGCTCGCGATGGTGTCGGATCAGTTGGGATCGGCGAAGGGGCTGAACGGGGACGGGACGCAGGAGGAGGACTTGAGGGTGGAGGAGGAAGAGGAGACGCCAGAGGCTATCGAGGACGAGGGGAAGAGCGAGGACGAGGGGAAGAGCGAGGACGAGGGGAAGAGCCAAGACGAGGAGAAGAGCGAGGACAAGGAGAAAGATGAAACAGCAAGAGAAGATGAAAAAAAGAGGAAGTGATAAAGTGTGTGCAATGACACATGTGCTTCCACACAGTTAGAAGATATTTAAGGGGTAAATAGCGAGGGAATGGATACTGCTTTCTTTCTTGTCGTTGTCGTTGTTATTGTACCACTACGCACACACAGGCACACATGCGTGTCGGCATCTTTGCAATGCATGCATGCATGTATGTATATATATATATCCGTGTGTCGGTGTGTGTGCGTGTGTGGCGGGCGACATTTCTTCCCTACAATCGACGCTGCTGCTCTTTCCTTATGGGGCGATGGAAATGCAGATGGCTGCATATATATATATATATATGTTGGCTATCGCCTGAGACTAAGTGAAGGAGTGAGGGCCTTCAGAGTCCATTCAACACTTCTTACGTGCTAAATGTCACACACCGATTATTGTCCCCCACACCAAACAATTATATCTGCGTAAGTGCGCCCTAATGCATCTCTCTCTCTCTCTTTCTTTCTTTAAACGCATATATATATATATATATATATATATANTATATATATATATGCAATGTGGAATTGGTCACTCTGTAGTCAAGGAACAGGGTGAATATATAAATAGTAGTAGTAGCAGTATTAGTGGTAAGGTGGTGTCTGATTGTGCTGTGTAATGAACCGCACCGGAAGTTCTGTCTACGCACACGCCATGGCGCAATTCGCCATTTGCCGCCAGCCGTGGAACGAGTACATCAGCCTTCTCACCAAGCAGGACTCGACACCGTATCACACGGAGCCGCAGGAAAAGCCGGCGTATCGGGGCCGCAAGCGTGGGCGGGAAGGATGGCTCTTTGGCCAGCAGGTCCAGCTGCACTACCACCGCTTTCCAGATGAGCAGCTGCTCACGAACCTTACTCGCTGGCGCACCGGAGAAACGGTTGGTGATGTGGCCCTTCAGCAGTTTCGCAACGCACAGCCATTCGATATTGAAGAGAAGGACCCGCAGGGAATGCATCGACCATCCCCCGAGGTTTACATGAAGCTCAACTACAAGAACCCTGCCACTATATCCCGCTTCCTCACACGCACTGGCCACATGTACCCAGCGGACATTCTCCCCATGAACCCGGAGGCCGTCGTGAAGTTGCGCGTGGCAAAGGCTCAGGCAATCCGCATTGGGCTCTATCCCCGGTTTGGTAATCCCTTCTGGTTCCGCTCGCAGAAGTTCCGTCCCAAGGCGTACCAGGAGAACTACGACCCCACCACGTACTCAACGAAGCACACAATGGAGCACTTTGCCTACAACTGGGTGCAGACGGACCGCATTCGGCGGTACTTCAGTGAGTTGGATGCGATGCATAAAGCCGCGTCGACTGGTGCCCGCGGAGGGGCCGCCGCGACGGCAGAGCAGAAACAGCAGGAACAATTCTACGCCCCGGACAATCAGCCCATCTCGATGCATCGCAACAATACGTCGTACATGGCGGATGTGGAGCGATCGGTTAAGAATCCAACGGTGCCGGGACTTATGTCGACAAAGGGCATGAAGAAAAAGTTCCACAATTTGTACTCCTCGACCTCAACGAAACGCATGGGATTCTCCAACCCGACGTTGGGAATCAAGAAGGTGTGAGGCCGCTGCCGAGTGCAGTTCACAGAATAGCGTTTGTTGTGACGTCGTCTCACACGTCTCCAGAAGAATATTCTTGTTTGGGTTTGTGTTTGTGCACATGTGTGCCTCTGTGGTTGTGCGGTGTTGGGCGTGTCCTTTTTTTTTTCTTCTACACACCATGTTTCTTCTCTCTCTCTCTCCTCCTCATCCTCCTCTGTTTTATCTGTGTGCATGTTTGTATGTGAACGTGTATTTTGGCTGCGCCGCCTTCGAGTCGCACGCAAACACAACAAAGGGAGAAGCAGCAAGAAGCACAAGCAGCGATGGAAATCAAGGAGCTTGAGCTTTCTGAGATGTGCGAGGAGCTCGCGAAGCCGACGTGGAATGTGCCTCTCATTTTCATTGGCGATGTTGGTGGCACGAGCGCCCGCCTGGGATTCGCCCACCGCGGCAGAAACGATGCCGTGTGCATCGTCACCAAGCGGTTTCACATGAAGAACAAAGACATCTGCGACCTGCTCATATTCTTCGAGGAGATCCTCAAGGTGGTGCCGGCCTCCATTATCGCGCGCGTGGCAGCTGGTGTGATCAACGTCCCCGGGCCGGTCACGGGCGGTGCGGTGGGTGGGCCGTTCAACAACCTCAAGGGCCTCGCTCGCCTTGCCGATTACCCGAAGCAGCTGTTCCCGCCGGGCCGTAGCACGATCCTCAACGACCTCGAGGCCGGCGGCTTCGGCGTGCTGGCTGCCAGTGATGCGCACGTCTTCGCGGAGTACTTTGACCTCATGTGGGAGGGCACACAGTGGCAGAAATGCGAGCAGCAGCCGGCGGGGTCTGTGCTCGGCCGCGGCCGCTGCGTTGTGCTGGCCCCTGGTACCGGCCTTGGCTCGTCGCTCATCCACTACGACGATATGAGCAAGCGTTATATCGTCCTTCCGCTCGAGCTCGGCTCACAGACGCTCCAGATACGGGATGACCTTGCGTACTTCCAGGACGCCGCCAAGAGTCTCTCGCGCCTGCCCAGCTACGAGAACATGGTGAGCGGCGGTGGCTTTGAGTACCACTACAAGCAGTTGGTGGGTGGAGACAAGCCGGCGATGTCGGCCGGTCAGATTGCGCGCCTCGCACGCCAAGGTGATGAGAAGGCCGTACAGGCTATGAAGATCTTCAATATGTACCTCATGCGCATTGCCAGCGAGGCCAGTATGGCATTTGTGCCCCTCACCGTCGTGGTTGTTGGCGACAACATTGTGAAGAATGGGATGTTTTACAGCAACCCGGAGAAAATCCAGGAGATGCGGAGTGAGGCACTCAACCACGCGATGGAGCGCTTCGGTTTCCAGAGCCGTGTGACGTACCTACGGCAGAAGAAGCTGTTGAACCTCAACCTCATCGGGTGTTACCAATGCGGGCTGCCGCTCATCAAGAAGGGCAATCATGCATCGAAGTTGTGATCCTGCGCATAGAACACCAGTGTTGTACATACAAATACAGGCACACACATGCACATACACACAAGCGCGTCCAAAAGACGAGACAACATTTTTTTTTGTAAAACGAATGGAGTGGGGAGTGGCTTCAAAAGGAAGAAAAAAAAAGGCATACGTTGGTAACGTTGAAACCGAATGGGGGGTGGAGGAAAAAAAAAACTGCGACTTTGTTTCGTTGATTTTGCCTAAGCGTACACATTGCAATACCTTCGCTCTTTTATAGGCATGCCCTCTCTTTCCCTGGTTTCTAGGAGGAGGAGGCGGGTGTGCGTCGGCCACGATGTTACGCGCCCCCAGAGTCAGGGGAAGGTAGAAGAGGTGGATTTTTTTTATACCAAAAGAAAAAAAAAGATATGTTCGAATATTTTCTTTCCAAGCAAAACGATCGTCTGGTCCTGTGATCCTTCAGAAGAGGCTTTGTGTCTGACTTTTTTGATGAAGGCGATGTTTTTTTTTCTTGTTTTACCATTGGAAATGGGCTGGCTTCACTATATACTTTGCTCTTTTTTATAATATGTATATATATCTATATATATTTTTTTTTCTGCCTGTTTCCTTGCACGACTTGCACACAAGTCCGGGCCCCGCTGGCCGTTGATGCGGCCGAAATTGGACAAGGGCCGCGCGGAGACATGTGAAGCCTGCGCGGTGGGTCGCTGTGTCGCGGACGTGGCGCAGCGGGAGGCGTGGACAGCCGTCCAGGCGGCGTTGGCGCGGCGTGTCTGTGTCCCACGCACACATGGGATGGTGGAGCAGTATTCCACGAGCACGGAGGGGGGAATCTCATCGCTGCCCTCCTTTTTGCTCCCGTCAGAGATTCTTCGGGACTTTGCAGCGACGGTGCTTGGCCCGTTGCTACGACGTGACGCTGAGCACCAGATGACTCTTGCGCCGCCGCACTCTCTTCCACTGCTGCAGTACGTCGGTGGAGTGGACATTTCCTTCGTCAAGGATAGCAACCTCGCGGTGGCGTGCCTCGTCGTGCTGAAATACCCATCCATGGAGCGGTGTCATACCATTCTGCATAACTGCGAAGTTACGGAACCGTACATTCCTGGGTTTCTTGCCTTCCGCGAAGTTCCGCCACTTGTGGAGTTATGGAACAAGGCACAGCCGGAGCTGCGTGACGCAGCGTGTGTTCCACAACTGTTGTTCGTCGATGGCTGCGGCGTCCACCACCCACTTCGCTGCGGGCTCGCCAGCCACTTGGGTGTCTTGCTAGATGTTCCCTCTGTTGGCTGTGCAAAGAACTTTTTGGCGGTGGACGGCGTGACGCGAGAGGCGATGAACGCCCTCTTTGCTGTGGAGTTGCAGAGTGATGAAGGCGCAGAAGATAAGCCGTGCATAAAGCCGATCATTGGGAAAAGTGGCATGATGTGGGGATACGCAGCTACACCAAACCGTAAAGTCAAAAAGCCTATCTTCATCTCCCCCGGACATCGCATCGGCTACGCGGAGGCCGCTGCGTTGGTGCTCTCAACGTGCAAACACCGCGTCCCTGAGCCCATCCGAGCTGCAGATTTAGTCTCACGTGAGTACATTCGGCTGATGGCACTCAACAATGTCAAGGAGAGGGAAGCTGTGTGAGACAGAGTTCGTCTTTGATCTTCTTTCTGAGTGGTAATCGTGGTAGTGTGGTCTGTCCATTGTGAGGCGTTGAGAAGATGAAGGGGGTGTTTTTCATTCTATAGGGAATCCTCTCTCCCTGACTCTTCACTGATAAAAGAAACGACCCGGAAGTATGATTTTTCTTCTTTTTCTGAGCATCACGGGATGGATCCTGTGGTCGGTGTACAGCTTCTTAATGTACTGCCGGACCTCTGTTGCTGGGAAAACGGTCCTCATCACGGGAGGGTCCACTGGTGTTGGGAGGTGCCTCGTCATTCGCTTCCTGCAGCTTGGCGCCAGGGTCATTGTTTGGGACTATCGCAAAGACAAGCTTGATGAACTTAAGCACGTGGCACTTCAGAGTAATCCCCAGCTGGAGAAAAGTGAATCGAACGGAGACGATCCGGTGAAAGATTCACAGATGAACGCGGGTAGCAGTCAAACCGTCACCAGCGAGAAGCTCCTGACGTGTGCTGTTGACTTTTCGAGTCGCATTCAATTGCAGCGCGCGATAAAGGATCTGGAAAATGTCCATATTGTTGTGAATGCCGTGGACGCTGGCAGTAGCAAAACTTTTTTTAATCGCTCTGACGAGTCCACCGAAAAGATCATGCTGGCCAACACTTTGTGCCCCCTTGTTCTTGCCAGGGTGTGCCTTCCGAGGATGGTGCAGCAGCAGGATGGTCACTTTGTCACCATCGCATGCAAAAAAGGGCTGCTGGGTGACGTGGAGAATCCAGACTGGGCAGCCTCCCGTTGGGCGTCCATTGGGATGCATGAGAGCATCCAAATGCTCATCAGGCAGAATGACAGGAGTGGGAAAGTACGTACTACACTGGTTTGCCCCTACGACATTTTGCGGCCTTCCGCAGGAGCACTGTCTTCTACTTCATCGGCGAGCTTCGATCCGTCTGCCGATGGTGAAACTGGACGCAAACCGTCTGGTGTGAGGCTATTCAATATGTTTTCATTAAAGCCACGGTCGTTTACTCCCGAAGAGGTTGCAGATACTTGTGTTTGGGCGATTTGTCATGGTGTGGAACGCGTGTTCCTACCTGCCACTTTGTTGCTTCTGCCGATGCTTCGAGTGTTGCCAGTGCCGTGGTTTATGTGGATCATCTCCTTCCTGTGAAGCCAAGAGGCCAGAGTTCGTTCTACGCTGCAAAGATGCATCTCGACAGAAGAGGCAAAGCCGATCGACGCCCAACACAACACGCACTTGGTGTCTCTTGCGCTGTGAATATCGCGCGAATATTTAATAATCACAATTGGAGAAATAAAAAATATAAATCATTTGTTTTCTTTTTTCGTTTTTTTTTTGTTGGTTTCCACGCCTTTCTGGTACGCCTGATAACTCTGAAGAAAGTCAAGGAGACCTCGCAATCATGGCTAAATGGACAGTACTGGAGCCGGCAACGATGCCGCAGCGGAGCGTTAACAAAATGGAGTCAATGTTTCATCGCAGGAGCAACGCACCGGCGAACAAGACGCCGCTCAAGATGGCCATTGGCGACCCCACCTTTGACGGCAACCTCGTGACGCCAGACTCCACCACGGCGGCGGTGGTGCACAGCTTGGAGAGCAACAAGTACAACGGGTACTCTCCGACTGCTGGGCGGCCAGAGGCGCGACAGGCAGTTGCACAGTATTGGGCACAGCGCTTCGCCGGGAAGCAGGCGGCGCACTGCAAGGCGGATAACGTCGTGCTCAGCTGTGGCGTGTCAGAAGCCCTCCTCATTGTATTGACGTCGCTGTGCGATGAGGGTGACAATGTGCTTATCCCTATGCCGTGCTTCCCCCACTATGACTATCTCAGCGACCTCTACGCCATTGAGACACGCCACTACACCTGCAGCGGGGACAACAACTGGGAGATTGACTTTGATCACCTCCGAAGCCTGGCTGACGGCAGGACAAAGGCGATACTAATGACCAACCCATCGAACCCATGTGGCAGCAACTTCTCGCGCAAACACGTAGAGGGTTTGATCCGAGTTTGCGAGGAGCTGCAGCTGCCGCTCATTGCGGACGAAATCTACGCTGGCCTGGTATTCTCCGGCGAGAGCTTCACCTCCGTGGCTGACTTCGACACGCCAGTGCCACGCTTTGTTGTGGGCGGTCTGTCGAAGCGATTTAACGTACCGGGGTACCGCTTCGGGTGGGTGTTGGCGGTGGACCGCGACGGTTACGGCGCGAAGATATGGAAGGGCGTGCACAGTATGGCCGCACGTTGTTTGATGCCGAACTCGCTGATACAGCATGCTGCCGTGAAGGCTCTTGCAGAGACGCCGAGGTCGTACTACGAGGACTGCGCAAAGCGCATGGAGGAGGGGGCGATGGTGATGTACAGCGGCCTGGTGAACTGCGCTGGGTTAAAGCCAGTGCGGCCGCGAGGTTCCATGTTCCTGTCAGTTATTCTTGACTTTGGGGAACTGGAGGACGCCATTCAGACAGACGCGCAGTTCGCGAAGAAGTTGGCGGAGGAGGAGAACGTGCACGTGTTTCCAGGGGAGCCGTTCAAGATGCCGGGCGCTCTCCGCATTACGGTCACACGGCCACTTCCCCTGCTGCAAGACGCCGTGAGCCGGATTCGGGCTTTTTGCGAGAGGCACCGACGGTGCTAATAAAAGGGAACGAAAGAATTAGTAGTGGATCGATGTGCTGTGGGAGCAAGGAAAAGTAGAGAATGTCTTGGTGGGAAGAATGTGAATCGGATTCGCTTTTTTTTTCTTTTCCTGGGGTGTGGTCGTGGATGCAGATGGACACACATGCGAAGCAATTCGTTACTCTCCTGGTAACGCCGTCGATAGGAGTACGTGGCTGTGGTTGTGTGAGAATGTGGAGTATAGCCAATTCCCAGAAGATAGGAGTTATCAAGGAGTGAACGCAATGCTGAGGCAATAATGATGCCGTCGATGCGTTAGTTGAAGAACATACTAGTAAGGATATTGTTTCGTGTCTCTGAATGCCGTACTGTCAGAGACAAACAGAAAGGGGAAAAAATGAGGCATTATAGTTTTTCTGTTTTCTTGATGTGCCTGTGGTGTGTAATTCATTGACGTGCGGAATGTTGTGAGCGCGACTGTGTGTCTTCTTTGTGCTACAGCCTGCGTTTTTTTGCCTCTTCGAGAGCCCATACATATACAATCAGGCAGAATCCGAGCACGATAGCGGGAAACAAAGTGTTGAGACAGAGGCGTGAAGGAAAGCTCCCCACCCCCCACCCATCCAAAGTGCGATGCTGGTGGAGAAGCCCAACTATGAGTCGTGCAACTACAACAGTGACCCCATCGGTGATGTCCTTGAGGGTTTGCTGCGTGCAAAGCGCCTCGGCAGCTCTGTAGGTGGCGGCGTGGAGGTGCTGGAGCTGGCGTCAGGGAGCGGCCAGCACGCGGTCTACATGACGAGACGCTTTCCCCCGTCTTTCATTGCGCGTTGGGTGTGCACTGACTTGCCCGAGATGTTGCCGGGCATCTGTCGCTGGCTGCAGGAGGACGGCAAGCAGCACGCCGCTCTCGTGCAGCAGCCACATGCACTGAGTTTCACCGACACAGAGTCCCGCTGGATTGAAATTCGACAACTTGCTTGTACTTCTACTTCTAATACTGTCAATGGTACGGCGCGTGAGATTGGCTACGATCTTGTATTTACTTCTAACAGTTTGCACATTGCGCCGTGGGAGGCGTGTTGTGTGCTCTTCCGCCGCCTCCCTCTCGTCGTGCGACCCGGCGGTATGTTTATCGTGTACGGTGCCTTTAACTACAACGGCACCTTCACCACAGAGAGCAATCGCCGCTTTGATGCGCGGCTGAAGCAGAGTCATCCATGGTGTGGCATCCGTGAGAAGGAGGCGGTGGAGTCGCTTCTGGCGCAGCAGGGTTTCACGTTAGAGGAAGACTACGCGATGCCGGACAACAACCGTTGTCTCTGCTTTCGCCGCCGAGAAGGTACTGTGTGCTAGCCACTCAGTGAAGTGGCGGTGTGTGTGACTGCATTATTTCAGAGTATCGTTCCATTCCTCGGCCGCACGCTGTGCACGTGAGTCTGCGGCACTTCCATTTCCCATCCCTCATCTCTTTATCTTCTCTCTCTCCCCCTATGGTCAAATCATCTTTTTTCCCCTTTTTCAGTTGCTGTGCAGGTAGAGAAACGTGAGATGCCGCGCGCAGCTCGCAGGCGTGGGGGTGGTGGTGGTGGTGGTGAAGGCTCTGAGGCCGGCATCCTTCCGCAGCGCGTGCGGCCCGTCCCACTCCGCCTCTTTTCAACGCAGTTGCAGATGCTTCCGCTTCTGCCGCAGTACGCCGTGCGGTACGAGCGGCGGCAACGACGACAGCGTCGTGCGGCGAAGGAAGGGATTGTCACAGTGGAACGCAGGTGTATCATACCTTTGCGTTTTTGCGATGTGTCTGTTGGGAATCAACTCCCCAGCCGAGCTGGTGCCAGGCGCAGCGCTGAGATGCGCTTCAATACTGTTCTGTGGGGCATGAAGGATGTGTGTCGCCTGAAGTTCGCCGAGTTGACACCAGCAAACAGTTGCTTCACCTTTCTGTGACGGCGACGTTTCGCGCGGCGGGCGTTATTCTGCAATGGGCCGTGCTGTGGTTGGGTGTGTGTGTGTGTGTGTGTGTGTGTGTGTTGGGGGGATGAGCAATGTCCTGTGGGCACTTGTGCTTGTTTGTGTGAGTGAGTGAGTGATGCGGAGGATCCGTCGCCGTTGTTCTTCCTTAATATGTCGGCATGGCAATCACGCGCGTTTGTGTGCACTCTGTCTAGAATATTCCACGAGGTTTGTGGAAGGTGGTGGATGTGTCTTTTGTCGTTGTTTTTCTGTCCTTCTTCTTTTGATTGCTAGGCCCTAACCGAAAAGAGGGGATTTTTTTGCCTCACTGGCGTACATTCGGCAATGTCGCAGTGTAGAATAAGCAGTGGCGCTGCAGTCCTCGTCGGTCCCGACTGACGTGTCGACACGCCAGTCGTGCAGCCGCCGACGGGCGACACCATCCCTGACACCCCTTACAGGGGCGCAGGCGAAGGTGGCGAAGTTATGTGTGGCAATGGGTGCCAGCAGCAGCAGCAGTAATAGTAGGTACGAAGAGGGCGGCGAAGGTGGCCCAGTGCTGGGCGGTGCAGAGCACTTGGAGTCTGTGCGAGTTCATGTAGGAGGGCACCACTGTCGGCTTCTGTCCCACCTGGGCTCACCGTGCAAATGGCAGAGATCTGGCGTTCCTTAGCACCGCAGGGTGATGCAGCGGCGTTTACAGCTTCGGAACGTGCGAAGGGGTTCTGCTTGAGAACCGCTTTATGACATGGCCTAAAGAGTATTTTTTGTATGGCTCTACATATCATTCTTTTTTGAATATGAATATCGATATATATATATATATATGTGTGTGTGTGTACGCTGTTTTGGGTAGGAGCGGCGGAAGCATACATTATCGGTGTTTGTTCATCTGTATCTTTTGTGGGTGGATGGAAGGTGCGCCCCATACACGAACGATAGGCAGTGTTTTGTCAGCCCCGTGGCCCGGTGTCTTCGTTTCCCTGCATTGTTTTTTGTTGTTGTGTTTCCCTTTTCATGCTGCTGTTGCAGCGGGCCCTAGACACACACATACACACCATTAAAGAGGCTGAGAAACCTCTTGTACGGAGTGGAACTACATGGACTCCAGGGGCGCAATGTGGAGTGACTCTTCGCCTCGTCCCGCGGCCAGCGAGGAGTCATGCTGTGCGAAGACTGCCCTTCCAGCAGAGGACGCCGAGAGCTGTTCTGGTGGTGACGATATTGATGCGCAGGGGGTTTCAAATGGGGGTGAGGTGTCAGCGGGGACGGTGTGTTTCTGCCCCATATTTGTGCCCTCGAAAGGGCGGCACCACAGCAAGCGCGGCACCATCGCACTCCTCATACAGGATCAAATCCCCTTTACCATCGTCGTGGAGCAGGGGGAGGCCGCAGAGTACGAGCAGCTTGTCGACCGCCTCGTCGAAAGGTTGTGGAATGGCGGCAAGACGAGCTGCCAAAAACAGCAACAACATGTGCTGAGCGGGGCGGAGCGGGACACAGTAGCCAACTGTGTGCTTGCCACGCCACTGTCGTCACCGCCATGCCAGACTGCAGCTGATGTGCGACAACTTGTCAAAGTTGTGTCACTGCCGTTGTCCGACCAAGGCATCTCATACGTTCGGAATTATATCTTGAGGGAGCTGGTGCCGGCGGCGTTTGCCGACGCTGCCACCACCGCGTCTTCGCCCTCTTTGCCACTGTCACCGGGTGGGGAGAAGTGGTACTGGGTGATGGACGACGATATTCAACGCTTCCACATCGCGCAGGACAACAAGAATCACGCTATCTCCCCGCGTCAACTCTTCACGGAGGTGTACGCACGCATACATCAGCTCCATGCCAATGTTTGCGACATGCGTAACATCGCAATCTTTTCACTGGAATACGCCAGATACGCTTATACCTACGGGGACAAGGATATGGCGTTGAACAGCTACAACAACATCGCCTCTCTCTACCGTTATGATCTCATACCTCCCAACTGCGCCTACCGCTTCCGCATCCGCGAAGACTACGACTTCACGTTGCAGCTCATTCTCTACGGGTTGAAGACGGCGCGCTTCCGCAACCTGTCTTTTGATGTGCCTGGGATGGCGGAGGCGTCAGGCGGCATGACAGAGTACTACAAGACGCAGAAGGAGGACATTCGTAAGCAGAATAAGTTATTTGTGGAGGCATGGCCGGCAGTGGCACAAGAGTGTATTAAGGGCAAAGGCGCCTTGGAGCGAGAGGACATACGCGTCCGCTGGGACCTTCTGCATCCCAAGAAGAGCGCGGACCCCAGCGCCACTCTTCAGTCTCGTACGCCGCTGCTGACCAAGAGAAAGAAGCCCCAGCCCCGCACGATCGCTGGCTTGCAGACCCAAGAGACGAGCGGTAGTTCTGAGGCAACAGTCTTGAAGGGATACCAAGTGGGCGCCAAGAGGCCCCGGAAACCCAATACAGTAAAGAAGCAAGCTGACGAGGAGGAGGAGGAGCAGAAGCAACAGCCAGAATCAACGCCAGCCCAGGTGTTGTGTGAAGGGAGGCGGAGGAGGGAATTGGATGCCAAGAGCAGGATACCGCCAGGGTGGAAGGGCTACGCACTCGAGAGCTGGCGGGACCTCTCCGTGGCTGAGGCGGAGCTCCTCCACCTTCGGCTCATTCCTGCGGAAAAACTTCGGGTGGGGCAAACTGTCGCGATTGTGCCACCGTTGTTTTCGCAGAAGCCATCCGTTGTGGAGGCGGTACTTATTGAAAAGAGCGTCACACGGAGGCGCAGGAAATCAGTGGAGGAGAAGGAGAAGGGTGACGAGGTGGAGGTCGTCACTGAGTGGAGCGCGGTGGCGCGTGGAATGCCTCTCTTAACGGTGACGCACTGCTACGAGGTGCCGGCAGTGGGTCTGGGTGTTGCCGCGGCTGCCGTGGATGAGTTTTTTGAAAACGAGAGAGAGAAATTGCCTAAGCAGTCAGAATGAGTGAGGCAGAAGAAAAAAAAACGTGAGAATTTGCAGTCTACTTGTGCTAGACGCATTGAGTAATATTTTTTTTTGTGTTTTGATTTCATTATTCAGAGGCAAAGCCGTTCATGTCAAAAATTCCACGGGACGGTGTGGTTGGTGGCACCTCATCGATTGTGCGCGGCAATCGAGGCGAACTGATAAATCGAAAAGAAAAAATAAAAGACGTATTCTCACATACCGTAGCGGAGCCATGGTATGATCCTTTAAGGAATGAAGAGGTGCCACTTTTTTTTCTCTGTGTTTCCTTCTCTGTTTTACTCTTTTTTTTTTTTTTNTTTTTTTTTTTTTTGTTTTGATTCTCCTGCTGCTGTGGCAGCGTATATATGTGTGTGTGTGGGGGAGGCTGTTTCCCATATTGGTATTTCTGTGCGTGTGTGTTCGCCCCGGCGCAGTGGTGGGGAGATGTCTGGAATGAGCCGCGTCGTGTCGCTGTGGTGACTCCGAGGCACGGTTGTAACTACAGCAGTAACCGGAATGGGGCAATAAAAAGAAGAAGAAGAAACCGTTTAAATTAAGACAGTCGTTCAGGCGGTATACTTTCAGTATCCTCTTTCTCGTAGGAGACTTCGAGGATCCTGCTGCGGTCCTTCTGTTTGTCGTTGTTTTTGTTTTTTCTTTGTTTGTATTTTTGTTTTTTGTTCTGACTCCTCTGCAGCGGGCTTCGGTGATTTCGACAGCCCTATATATATATATATATATATAT